CCCCCCCCCAACTTTTCGAAGGTTCCTACGCCCCTGGGCGAGAGCCAACCACGGGGCACCGGGACAAAATGATGATTGGTGAGCACGGGCCTCCTGTCCCTCTCGACTCTCCCGCTGGCTATTTTTAATCGCAATTAACGAGAGAATTGCCAGCGAATTACTTGCAAGAAATCGCCGCATAACTGATAAAAACGCAATGTGAACGAAAAACAAAGGCTTTATTGTTAAAAACGCTTCTGCTGCGCAAATTTGTAGTTTCACTTGTCGCGTAGTTTGCGTTGTACACGAGACGCGAAAATCTCTGGTTAACTCCCGTGGGGCTATTTAACTGTAATAATTATTCATTTCTTTCAGTCGTACGAGATCACGGGAATATCATTCGGTGTGAATAGCCGTCGTCGTCGCCGGCGTTGCCCGGTTATTGTAAGGTCCCTATTAATATCCCTCAATAATTCCAATTTAATACGATGTTTATTGTGTTTATTACTGTATTGCCGCGCAAATAACAAACCATTTGAACTATTAGCACAACCTGTAAACTGCAAACTTCAAAAATCAATATTTTCGAAAAAACAAACGCGCTTTCTTTAGTGGTGATACCACAGGCGCCCCAATCTCGCAAGGGTCAGTGTAGACTTATAGTATAAATGTATATTTTAATATAGTAATGTATATTATAGTAAAAATATGTCATAAAATATAAATCTTAAAATGAAATTGACTTGCCTATTTGATAGTGTGTTTTCCTTGTATTCCTCCTTTGTTGGACTAATATTTTCCGAGACTTTGTACTCGATGTTACTAGTATACATGAAACATGATAAAGGCTAACGATTCCCGATCGTCCATACGACGGCACGGCACTTCGAATCGAAAATTCTCACACTCAAATCGCTTTATTCTCAAAAAATATTCGCCAGCATGTACAACAAATGCCGTTCTTCGAAAATACAGAGGTACTTCGGCGAGATGTACAAGTTTTCGACCATATTTTAACAATGGAAATCAAAACCCATTTTATATTGAACTTACCCGGACCGAAAATTACTACGGCGAACGTCTGCGCAACCAGGCCTCCTTTACCGTTGGATTTACAGGGGGGGAAGCAGATATTTCCGGTAGCAGCCAGCCAATCGCGGCCGCGATAGCGACTGTTTACATGATTTGAAATTTGATATTCAAAATAAAAACTCCTTCGATCGGATACTGTATAAAACTCGAGATGTTGTCGAAGAAAAGAAAACTAAACGACGGAGATTGAAGAAATTTAAGGAAGAAGTAATATACAGCGGCTCTTTGTTGGAAAGCATGGTAGAATATGATACTTTAATTCGAAATATTATCGTGAATATATTAGTGGCATCCTCCCCACTGTAAATCCAACGGTAAAGGAGGCCTGGTTGCGCAGACGTTCGCCGTAGTAATTTTCGGTCCGGGTAAGTTCAATATAAAATGGGTTTTGATTTCCATTGTTAAAATATGGTCGAAAACTTGTACATCTCGCCGAAGTACCTCTGTATTTTCGAAGAACGGCATTTGTTGTACATGCTGGCGAATTGTTTTGGAGAATAAAGCGATTTGAGTGTGAGAATTTTCGATTCGAAGTGCCGTGTCGTCGTATCGACGATCGGGAATCGTTAGCCTTTATCATGTTTCATGTATACTAGTAACATCGAGTACAAAGTCTTGGAAAATATTAGTCCAACAAAGGAGGAATAAAAGGAAAACACACACTATCAAATAGGCAAGTCAATTTCATT